TACAAGCATCCTGCCAGCTCCGATGTGCAGAAGTTTCTTTTCTCATACTATACATCACAACTTGCTAGAACTACGAGCTTCATTGACGAATATACCTGCTGCCCCCATTCCGCTACCTGAGAAAAAAAAAAAAAGTCAACAAGAGCCGACCTTGAGATTGGCAAGGGGGATCGCACCAATACACATGCTGGTGCACAATAATGACCCGTTCTTCCTCTTCAATTCTGCGAGACCCGTCACCACTTGACGAACACCAGCTGCAATTTTGCGTGAGTTCGACCCACGGTCAACAATTTCATACTTACTCATTCCGAGAGGATGAGAGACCGCAATCGCGCCGCCGCTGGGGATATTTAGACAAAAATTTGATACGAAGGACAGAAAATATACTTGGGGTTGATTTTCTCAATCGGAATATCCAGTTGTTCCACGCAGTATGCAAATTGCGACGCAAAGGCTTCATTGATCTGCAGGGAGGTCAAATAATGCATACTGGACATTAAACTGCACCCGCCTCGTACACATCAATGTCCTCTTTCCTTAATCCAACTTGCTCCAGGAGCTTCGGAATTGCGTATATGGGAGAGATGCCCATATACCTCGGCTCGACACCTTGATTCATGTCAGTGTAATGCAGGCACTAAGGAGAACAAGACCTGCCGACAACAGAGCTTCCAACCCACTTGGCCAGAATTTCCATTCCCTCCTTCTCAGCCCTCTCCCTCGTCGTCAGGATGCAAATCGCAGCGCCGTCACCCACACCACTAGCATTTCCGGCAGTGGTAGATGCTGGCCCCCAATTCGGGAACACGGGCTTTAGGGCAGCCAGAGACGCGGCAGTGACACCCGGACGAATAGTATCGTCTACAGAAACGACGGCACCTTTGAGCTCAATGGGAATAATTTCGTCGGCAAAAATGCCCTTTGTCACCGACTGGGTAGCAGTTCAGTCAAACTCAAGTTTGAGGTAATATACATACTTCACCAGCCCGCATGTGGGAAATGAGAGCATATTTATCCTGCGTTTCGCGTGAAACTTTATAGGTTTCCGCCACCATCTCAGACGTCCATCCCATCGGCTAATGAGCAGTCAATGTGTGGATGGGGTCCAGAAAATAGGCAATACCTGAACACAGTCGTGGGCCTCGGCTGCACTATCTACAGCTTCACAGATTTCCGGGGTTGGGCGAGGACTAAGTGCCGAACTTTGAGGGGCAAATAATACTCAGTACCATAAATACGCACTGCATGGTCATGCTATCGACGCCGACCGCGAGCCCGATAGAGGTCTCGCCTGCCTGGATAGCGTGTGCAATATTCCGAATTGCCATCAAGCCGGACGAGCAGAGTCGATTCACGGTGGAGATGGGAACATGGTGCGGTATACCGGCTGCCAACGCCGCTGCTCTGGATGTGTACAGAGGAGACGGCGGATGGCATGTTCCTGCATTGGGACTGAGAAGAGCGCCTGCGTGAGTTTTACAGCAGACATACCGACGCAAATGTCGTCAATTTTGGACGGATCAAGCCTGGTCTTTTCGAGAGTCGCCTGGCGGCCGATTGGTCGAAGCTCGCGCGCGCGGTTTCAAAACATTTACCTTGAACAATGCTTGCAAAAGCTCGTCGACAGTAGTGTCCTTGAGTTGACCCTTTTTGGCACGGCCCATTGCAGTACGTTTAGCGAAAGTCAGGACGACATCATCCGGATTCTTTTGGAGAATGGCGGAGAGTCCACGGGGGGCGGCGTGTGTGCTTGCTGAGCGGAGCGGGGCGCGAGACATGACTCTAGCGGCCAGCATGTCGAGTGGTGAGAATACAGAATGAACGACGGCGGGAAGGCATTGGCGGACCGTACTTTTCCCGCTCACGTGAGGTCAGAGGGCAAAAAAAAGATATAAGAACGGCGCGCGCGGGCTGAAAAACTTGAGCCGTGAATCAAGGAATGGATTCAATTATAATACATCGGGTTCAATGTTATGCCAATCCCAGCTGCACACGACACCTATGGACCACCATAACGCAGTGAAAAAAACAGTCATCATCATATCTTCTCCGTTTCCCCGAACCTCTTCGTTTCTTTCCACATCCGAGTCAGAAACGAGAAGCAGTGGTTACACAGGTGATGTGCAAGCTTGGGGGCGCCGCATCCGGGGCAATTCACGATATCTGCGGGGTGTTGGCGAAAAGGATAAAAACAGGGTGTTGCGACGTACTGTGTTTGTCTTTCAAGCCCTTGGTTGCGCTCCGCATGGATTTTCGTGAATGCGACACCTTTTTCTTGGGCACTGCGAGCACGAATGGCGGGAAGAGTTCAAGCAAGGACTGCCAGAACGAGGGTAGTTGCCATGTTCGAGATGCTGCAAGAAATGTGGGGACGGCGGCGAGTGCGAATGGTCTCGTTAAGAATGGTATTCGGAATGCTGGCGCAAGAATGTGGCGGCCATGGAGGGCCAGTGCTGCCATGGGAGAGCGAAAACAGAAATCCAAATTGGATTTCAAACTCCGACTTGACCACCATGTTCCGCCTCACTCGCCCTCTCTTCCAGGCGCTGAGGGCCACCACTGGACTCACGGGCCTCGCAGTCCACCCAAATCCTCTTCCAGCTCTCGTCACCACGTACCAGTCCACGCTATCCACGCTCTCGCAGCTCCCAGAGACATCCGTGTACAGACAAGCAACCGAAGCGCTTACACAAAACAAATTAAAGATCGTAGAAGCTGCCAACGGAGATGTTGCAGCAGTAGAAAAGGGTCTGAACGAGGGGATTATTGAAGAGTCGCTACTGGTCGCGGTCGATGAGCTGAAGCTGGCGACTGAAATGATTGAGTGGAAAGCGTGAGTTGTTGTCCATTCCTGCGGCAAACGTGGCTCATTGTCCACCCAGTTGGGAGCCTTTGGTCGAGAAACCTGCATCGGGACAGTGGGAATATGTCTCATAGCTTGCACTTGGTCTAAATTACACCGCGGAGATACATGGCGCTCGCCACGACGCGTCCATGCTGGCGCTGCGCTCAATGAAGATCCTTGTGAATCCGACCGTGCACAGATAAACATCATTGTACGAGCAGGATTTGGACGCGGGAGTCGCCATTGCACTTGATTTACTAATCTCGTCAGGATAAACTCTTGACACTGGATGGTTTAGGCTTTCTTGAGATGCACGTCGAGCAGTCCTACAATGGCCTTCAGGCTGAGCCTCTCTTTTCCTCAGCCGGCGCCAGGCACACCAAGGGGATATTAGTATTCCCAGCACCTCAAGTTCGTGTATCTTAACTTGCTTTTTGCTGGATTACCTCTTGTCTCGGTGCAGTGAGCTGGACACGCGTCGATACTTTGATGTAATTCCTTGTAAGCAAGACCACGGTTTTCCTAGTCGCGTCTAAGGTCGCTCCAGGAAGGCACTGGTCGTCTCCTTAACAAACACGGTAATGATTAGCTCACAATCGCTCTGGTGCTGGGGATAAGTTGCTGCATTAATACCACTACCATGTTTATATTTGGCAACTCCTGCTCCGAGTGTCCAGGTGCCAGAGTACTGTAAAAATAATTCATTTCTACGTGGTACACATAGTTTGTGAAAGCCGTTTTCTTTCCGTATGCACTACGCCAACACGTGCATCGCAACCCTAATTTGGACTGATTGGTAATTTTCATGCTCAAAGGCTGCGGATACTTTCTTTCTCAGATCGAGGAGCATACAGAACAGAGATTTGAGTTCATACTGACTATTTTGGACGTTTGGCTAACATCTTCACGGAATGGGGATCATTTAGTCTCTCATTGCCGAATTTGCCAAATTTCGCAAGCTATGTACAGCTCGAGTAAATGAACAGTGCGGGCGTGATCATGGACACCTTTGCTCAAGAATAATGTGTGTTTTTTGAACTCAAGACTCCCATAGTAAGTTCACATGTCGCAAACTTGAAAAGTCGCTCTTGAATCATAAGCTAAGATAGTGCCTTTCTGAACCTTATAGGCAAAAAGAGGCGGGGTTATGAGTGCTTATAAGGCGCTATAACCCCGCGTGTTTTGCCTATAAGATTCAGAAAGGCCCTATCTGAGGTTGTATTCCAAATCGGATATTTGCGACACAGGGCATTTGATGTTCGAATGGCAACCGAAACGGCCGCAGTTCACCGCCGATGTCCTTAGGCACTGCTTCAAGGTATTGCTTCTACTGATACAGACTCGTGTGCGCTGTTCTCTCCCTTATCCATATATGACTCTTAATATTGTATAAGTACGCAGCTCTTGAATGGAGACCTCTGCGTGCTCACAGAGGGTCACTGGCGGCTTCAGACTGTACATCAGCTCAAAATCCAACATTTAAAACCAACCCCACATCGATCCTGTCCGAAGAAATATGCTGTGAAGAAAATTACAGTAACAAGTTTTTGCATGAATTAAAATCGTACGCACACATGAAACTCGCTAACTATCACGATACTTATTGTCTCTCTGTCTCTCATATTGGGCTCATCGAGGTATTTATACCTAAGTACGGCTGTACGTAGATGAATATTGCATTGTTAAATTGTTAATCTATTCGGATCTGCGTGAGTCATACTATCGTGCCCGATGGGTCTGAATCCTCCCTGTCTAGCTGAATTTCATTTTTCATGTTTTTTCAAGAGGATGGATCGCTGCGGGTTCTTTCGGGATGGATACCGGTACATATTCTAGTTGTATACAAAAAATATTGAAGCGATTGAGAGCACGAGAAGGAATGGGATCAAACCATCAAACCATCATCCCAACAAATTTCGGGATCAAATTTCTTCGACGACTCAGGCTCGTCCACTTCGAGCCCAATCCTTCTGTAGATTTACAGAGAGTAGAAGAGGATGTGTCGGTACCCATTCCGAAAAACACCGAAGGGATTGCTTGATTTAAAAAAAGATAAAATTGAATTTCAGGATCGGCGGTCACCATGTGTCCTCATGACACGTTGTGATCAATAATGCCATCTTACGACCTCTAAAAATGCTCCAAAAAGCAGCGACGCCAGCAGGGTTCGAACCTGCGCCCACAGAGTGGAAAAGATAGTGAGGAATTCAAATCTTTCGCCTTAGACCACTCGGCCATAGCGCCGATGACGTCGTAATTTCAACCCTAGGTAGGTAGAGTGTTCAATTCTGCATCGGACGAGTGAAGAAAGTGAAGGATTTGAATCATAAATGAACGAGAACGAGCAGATTTCGTTTCCGCGGAAGATCAAACTTTGATGTGATTTGCACATGCTATCTATTTTATTCGGAAGGCCTTCGAATTTGATACAATGTCGTAAGTCAAGGTTCCAAACAGCTCATGGGGCTCCCGCGATTATCCGTGTACTTATGAGATCTTTTGCTTTGCAATACATATACCGCGCTGCGGGAACACGGCATTTCCCCGTCGCACACCTTTCCACATTCCTGCGGTTCCGCAGCTCAGGCGGTTCAACGCAGTAAATCAGCCGTCGGCACATGTTGAACCGACGAGCCAAGACCTAATTTCAAGTTGCCGCAGTGATATCTGAAGGGCTGGCTGTCCAGCAAAGACGTGTACTTCTCCAGGTCCGATGCCGTGCTACATACACCGTAGGTGAAGCTACCGCTGTAGCCACATATTTTCATCGCCTCCTGTTGTACAACCAGCACTGGCAGCACATTCCTCGAAGTTTTCCCAAAGGACTCTGATGGTGTAATCTCTGTCACTTAATTTTCTTTTCTCTCTGTTGGATACTCTCAGTTTCTCTAATATTTCCTCCACAATCTATCAGCGACTCATTAAAACATCAGCCCTGGCTGCACAGTTGCGGCTGTATGTCTTATCATTCCATCTACCGGACCTTTAGGCCCCGGGAAGCTCCACCCAAGGGTTGTCCGGATTTCGAGGTTTTTGAGGGCGAAAAATCGCGATTTCCTTGTCCGAAACTTGAGGTTTTTGAGGCCAAAATTTCCCAACCCTTGTCCGGAGTTGAGGTTTTTGAGGAACTTCAAGCGGAATGCCAAAGGCTGACACGACTCCCAGCATAAGAGGTCAATTTTCGTTCTGAATGGGAGTTCTGACTGACATTTCCGTTGAAGCTAGAAGAAACCCGGGAGATTTTACCCGCCTTCGCGAGCCGGAGAAAAAAAAAATGAAAAAAACGGGGCTTTCAAACTCATTTCCCCCACAGTAAGAAAGCCCTGTCCGACTCGAGGTTTTTGAGCTCCAGATCCTCAGGTTTTTGAGGCCAAAATCTGGGATTTTTCCAGACAACCCTTAGGTGGAGCTTCCCGGGGCCTGGACCTTTTGTTTTCCATTGTCGCACCCTCTACTCGTTTATTACTTACTCAAGTCCACTCGCTGAGGGGGAGTGTTAGCGTGGTACATACGCTATGTAGTTACAGCATAGTGTACTTTCGTGTATATCACGTGCCCCTTATGCATTTGCAATAGAACATCTAGTAGATGTCTATCACATCTATCTGGACAAACGCAAGTTATTCGACTTCCTCGTTACCTTAATATCGATACGGGCGATACCTCCAGCGGATTTACACTGACAAGCGGCCAAGTACTGGTTTCCTGCTACACTTACGACTTGAACCTTCATTCAAACTAATATTGAACCTCCGTTTGTAATATTGAACTTTGATTCAACAAAGATTGAGCGAGGCAGATGTCCTGCTAACAATAGTCGTGCCAGCGGCACATGGGTGCAGCTGCTTCATTTCCGAGCGCTTCCTTCACCACTACTGAATCATGGAGGAGACCGACAGACTTGCGCCAACTCGCCGTAATCCTCCCTCCTACGATTCACCAGACCATGCCCATACCCACAGACCACAGACATCCAAAATTTTGCTCATGGGTGGAGGAACCGCCTTGGCTGTTTTTCTCGTCTTGACTGGCCTGCTCATCTACTTAATGGCCACGCATGACTACCATGTCGATTCTGGGGCCTGGGTTCTTGTCACCTCAGCATCGCTAGGTAAAACGCTCGCAATCACAAACGCTGCGTCGACCATCATATCGGGGACCGTTCCTCTGCTACTGATCTTGGAGGGGTACAGGATCGCGAGCGCGTGGCTCATGGCATCTAGCGATGGTGGAATAAACAGGCCGACGCCGTATCAGTAAGTAACTTTCGGTCATATATCTTTTTTAGCCAATCATACTTACTCTCGTCTTACATAGACTGGGGATTCTTATGACTGTCTTATCAAAAGGAAATCTACCGGGTCTTTGGACTGGCATAGCCTCCGCGTACGCCGTTAGCGGAGAGAAGAGAAAAGCACCTCCTCTGTCCCAGCCGCCCATACTCCGGATAGCAGTTATCACGTTAGCTCTGCTTTTGGGTCTGGCATATGCCTGTCACGGCTTTGATACATGGCTCCATGTGTCTTCGAGAGCAGTGCTCTTTCCTCAACTGAAACCATGGCCGGGACCGCAGTTCATGGGCTCGAGAGCATTGAACCAAACGGCTTGCGCTGAAGCAGATAAATTCCCATATGATCCCCTTTTTCCACATCTTTGCGGACTTGTGATGGACGGCGGGTAAGCAATATCATTTTCCTGCCAGGTATGATGCCCTACTGACTTGTTCTCGGCCAGTAATAATCACGAACTGGCGGGTGGTCTTCCTGAAGGCATTCGCGTTCTCAATAACGCGTCCGACCTGAACGCTGTCGTCTTCACAAACGACAACATCGCAATCGTGGTACCTCCAGCTTCTCAGATACCGGAATCTATCCAATGGATTGGAAACACTGTCGGCGTCAGGTCGACTTGCCACAGTATAACGGCAGATTGTGTGGACGTTGCCGACCCTGGCCCCGAAGCTTTCGTAGATTTCAACTGCCCGCCATCCAGCAGTATCAATAACACTGTCCTTACTCCATATGAAGCCGGATTTAGCTATCCCTTCGGGATTATCGATTCTCAAGGAAATCCCTTGGGAGACAGGCCATGGCATGTTGAAACCAAGTAAGTATACTTTACAAAGTTTTTCAGATTCGCATTGTACTCATGGGATGGGCCAGTCATTTTCATTATCTGGCGGTAGTCATTTCGTTCGCGTATGTTCACTTCTATAGCGACGACACGTGTAAGTTCGAACGTCGCTATCTACCGTGCTGCCCTGATGAGCCCGTCCTTAGTCGTTGGTGATACCGGATTTTTCGTTCACGGCCACTCTGGCTCATGGAACATTATTTCCTGTGATGTCGACGTTCTGGACGTTCAATACGCATACGTCAACGGCTCATACACTACAAGATATACCACGATGGCTGATCTCAATACTACCCAGCGAGTTGCGTCCCTTTCTAACGAGAACATCCCGACTCAGCTGCCAAGAGTTGTCGACGGGATCGGTCTCGTTTCAGGGAATTATGCGGCTGCCTTCAGTCAGGAGTTGTCTAGGGAAATGACCGCGCTTTCTTCGCAGATGTGGAGCAACGCGACCGCAGACCAGGTGTTCAATGTGGTGCCGAACGTTGGGTCAAGATTCCCGTTAGCACCGCTCGGTCTTCTCGCTAGTTTTATGGCACTCTACGGGTGAGGGCGTCCACCGTTTAGAAAATGGAACTTGAAGGCTGAACATTCTTCTTCTTAGGTTGATAGCGCTTCTTTTGACGTTCCTTGCTCTCCGCGCGACATCTGCCCAGGCGTATGCTTCCATTGCAAGACTGAGATTGATGGACCCTCTCACCATGATCCACGCTGCGTATGGACCTATGGAAGCATCCAGAACATGGAAGGACCATTCTAAAGCTCTTTTTGGTGTGGAAGGTGAACAGGACAGACTGAATGTCGGCCGGATGGCACTGCCTGACGGAAGTGTTGCTTTTGGCGTCTCAAGAGGTTTTTCTTGGTAGTGTATTTTTTGTGTGCAATTTTGGTTCCGATTTTTGGGGCTTTCGGGGAAATGCGAGACGAGGTCTTGTGATGAAGGAATGAAAATGACACAGCTTTTCTGCTTTTGACGTTCACCTGCACTCCGAAGTCTGCACAACCAGTCCTTCATTTGCCATAAAATATTTTCGTCTCATTTGTCCTTGCCCTTCCCTCCTCACATACGCAATTCTAATCTCCCAAAATTCATTAAAACCGTCTCTGGCTTCCCTCGGAAAGACCTCCTTCTAGTGTGCAACTGCTTTGGTCTCGACGAGACGGGCAATCTTCTTGTGTTACGCCCTCGAGTCGAGGATCATATTGACATAACCCACACCTAATTGGCAATTGCGCTATGCTCGTCTTTCACTCGAGATCAGCATGCTGCTCGAGCAGTGTCTCCCGAGCCTCCGAGCCCTCCTGATTCGCCCACGTCGACCCCGCCATCCGACAACGAACGCAACACGCTGCTCGAGCTCCTCACTTTTGGTTCAAATGCAAACAAACTCTTGACCGTGGAGCGGACCTGATTATAGTACAGTGGTGAGTACGTCAGCGATTCATGATTTGTTGGACTGGAAATCATCATTTTGAGTTGAAGACCCGGGTTCGATTCTGGGTCAGGTCATTCTCGTTTTAGTGTTTCTTTCGCTTTCTTCCTTCTATTGTCTCGCCGACCTGCATCTTGCGATGTTCGCGAGAAAAATCAACTCCTTAGATGTCCGCAACAAGTCCACAAGTTCATCGTGACGGTACTCCACTCAACATTCCATTATAACTCTGAAATTTAACCTAGGAATATCGGCGACCGAAATTTGGAACTTAAGGCAAACAATGCTATACCTGCTGGAAAACATCTGAGCCCCATACCCATATGTTGCCCCGACTCTTGGGCCAATTTCGAATATATATATATTCCGGTGGATCACCTGAGCATGGCGCTATGATCTATCATGGGCTTCTAGCTAGAAGTGATTCGTGATGTATAAACGCCTCTAGCTAGAGGCCTGATTTGATACATCAGATCAGGGTTTCCAATGGAAATGACAGCGCACCTGCCATAAATAGTCGGCGACGTCCTCAGGGTCGCCGCCATCGTCAACGACGATGAGCTCGATGGAGGCTCAAAGGGGTAATATCCACATTTAGTAATGGCTCTAAAAATACATGCACGTCATTCCAAAGCTACTACTGTCTACCTGCTCGCCTATATCACGGGTGCCGTGTTGCAGGTACGGCTTGTGCGCGGCTGCGTGAGGACACACCCATGTGGGCACGCCGTGGGCAGAGATACGCGCCGCCACCGCGCACGTTTTTTGCTGCCCGCCGGTATTGCTGCTGCTTGGGGCGTACATACTCGCGGGCGGGAGCGGGGGCTTATGGACATGCGTCGTCACCGCGCGTGCGCCTTGCTCATCCTGCGCGTCGGTATCGCTGGCGGGCGCTTGACGATACGTGTGGGCGGCAGATACGTCTGGCGGCGGCGCAGGCGCAGGCTTTGGGATGTGTATGTACACGTCTTGTAGATGCCTGTTGGCGCCACCCGCGTCTTGCTGCCTGCTGTCGTTTCCTCGGCTGCTACGCTGGGGGGTGCTTTTGAGCGACAAAAAAGGGGCGGGGGCAGGAGCGGCGCGACGTCCACGAGGATAGAGGCGGAGCCAGGCTGCTGGTGCGCGTCCGGGTGTGCTTTGCTGGACGGGGCGGCGAGTGGAGTGCGAGCCGATCTGGGCTGCGCTGCTCGGGCGGGGTGTGGTGCGCGATGCGAGCGCCGGGATCTTGATCGTGGGGTGTCGCCGATGTGGGGTCGCGGCGCGTCGGTGTCAGTGTCCTGCTTGTGGTCTCCCATGCGTGCGTACATACGGCGAACACTTGAAGTTGTGGGGTGTGTCGAGTCTACGGGGGTCTCGGCGCAGCGCAAAGCAAATGGAGGGAAGGTGGTGGATGCGCGGTTCGGCCCTCGCGCGTGAATAGAGTGCGGGTGCAGCGGGGGGATGCGGTGCTCGTTTGTCCAGACCGCGCACACTTGGCGGCCGGTACGCCCGTCGGCATGGGCTTCTGCACGGCGACGAACGCCTGCATGCTTTCGCTCGGTGTGAGCACTGTGGGAAACGCCTGCGCGAACGACGCAACCTGGTCGACGGCCGTGGTCCGCCACGACGCCTAGTAGAGCTCCTCGACGGGCTGGACGTGCACGAGCGTGCCGGTGAAGTACCATATCTTGCTTCCGCTGTCAACGCGCAGTCGTGGAGCGTGGCGGTCAGGAGGAAGCGCCCGTCCGGCGACCCGGCGCAGTACGACGTATTGGGGGCGTCGATGGTGCAGACCTTGGAGAAGGTGGGGCGGTCGAAGATGTCGGTTTTGCAGGCCAGACTGCCAAACCCTGCAAGGGCGATGAGCCGGCCTTGCGGGGTGAAGGGGATGAAGTTGTGCGAAGAGGCGCTGAAGTCGTATATAGTCCGTACACGCCGGTCGAAGAGCATGGTCTTCGCAGGCCTGACTGGGCATTCGATCAGTAGGCGCAATTGTTAGGTACCCTTGACACTCACATCCGTACACGACACCAAACTCTTCGGACTCCACGCGAAAGCGAAATCTTCGATGGGGCCCTCCTTATCAAGTGGGGTGTGGGTACGTCGAGCCTGGGCGGCTCAAGGTGGCTGGAGCGTCTCCAGCATTGAGGAATGATGGCGCCCTCCTCTCGATGAGTGCGTCGGCGTCGTCGTAACCTGAGTAGCGCGCCGCGCTCGATATTGTTCATGGGTTAGTGTATTTTCCGGGGGTAGAAATACACCGTTTTCCTGCTGATAGAGTGAGCAAGATGGTCGAGCACAGAAAGGCGGGCAGTGTGGCACGCAGCATGACGCGAAATGAGCAGGATTGTGGCTATCCATAGGACTATGGTCAGCCCAGCGGATGGCCGCCATGCTCGCTTCGGGGGTAAAGAGAAAGGATAAAAGATAGAGAGAAAACCCACAGAACGGTGCACTGATTCTTAAGGGTAGCGGCGGTGGGAATGAGGAGAGCAATCAGCTCATGGTGGCCGGAAGAAAGAGTGTCACAATGTGACGCGCTCACAAACAACGCCACTTTACTGATCAGAAACACAGAGAATTGTTTCATTTAGCGCAACGAAAGCTCCGATACAAAATGTGAGTAGAGGGATCTACTCAGAATTGAAGGCCGTTCATTTGGCAGTGACACATTCACCATATTCCGCTTTGTGAAAAACGGCAGAAAATAGGAAATGGGTTTGTGCGGGGCCGACAGTGCAATAATAAGCCGTTACAGGGTCGTTAAGGGGGTATATATAACCCAGGAACTCTATGGATCAGCTATTTCGCAGAATTCTCATAGTGGGAGAGTATGGGGAGGATATAGATTTTGGAATAATATAAAACACGGTATAGGAGACGTGTCCTGCTTGTAAATCCAAATCTGCTTCCGCGAAAGATGATTAATTTCGTCCCAGAAACGATTCAGACAAAAAAGCACCCAGAATAATGGGGGTCAAAAATCAGGAATAACATAATGCGTGTAAAAAACAACCACACAATTTTTTTACTGGTCCAACTAGGATAGAGAAGAGCTTACCTAGTTGAACCAAATCTGTGCATATATAGTTTTGGATGCTCAAGAGCGACTGGTGTTCGAACTGCAAAAGGTGAGTTTGGCGTGGTATGAGTTTGGTTAACAAACATGTAACAGCACAATACACTTCTTCCTCGACTCCCATGTCCAAACTCAAGAATGGCTGGAAAAAGCTTCTGGATGACTGCTGGAACTACCTCCTGAGGTCCGGACTCCTGTTTGATGCAGAAACAACTTCAATGACATGGTATATTGCAAGTTCAATGCCGGAGAAAAGCCAGAGAACCACTGCAAGGATCCGCGGCATTACAAACAGTATATCTCTCCTTTTCAAAGTTTTGATGTTCCTCATTTAAGTAAACGATTTATATTCAGAAATATGACCGAAATACGGGAGAAGAGGTCGGGATGATTCTATATTTGGCTTAAATCCTGATCCCGAGAACAGTGAGTGTATTTTCGATTTTCTTTCAATACTAAGGCCCTCCGGGCATCCCCTGGCACCTCCCAGTCAACTAGACACACTTTTATCAGATACCTGTAACTACCCGACGCCGTTTGCGAGCTGGTCAGGCGATGCCCTCCGGGCATTCCGTAGTGCAAGTTAGGAGTTTCCATTATAAAGTTGCTCAAACCTTCATCCCCGCCCATTTCTGTAAAATGGCCCTCCGGGCATTCCCTATACCTATCCAATGACACCATTAGTACTTAATTCTCTCTCAAACATTTACACCCACCGATTTCTGTAAAATGGCCGGAGTTGTATTCGCCACAGACTAATTTTGATTTGAACTAATTTATTTCATTGGGTATACCGCTATGAATGGAGGAACTGCATGGAAGGACATAAGCTAGACCAGTCGATCTGAGTTTAAAATCCCAATACACGCGGCGTGTCCATATAAGGCTATTCCGGACCGTGTTCCGAGCGGACGGCTTTTGATGCAAACAATGACAATTTAAAGACGAAATATTTGTTGTGCAATCACTATTTCACGCTTTGACTTCGGGTTTGCCGCAATCATGTGCAGTAATTACCCCGACAATTCACCAGGTTTCTCAGCGCAAATTGAGGCCCAAATTCCACCTCCCGAACGTACCGACAATAGCTGAGAATAGCCTTATGGGGACATGGAGATTTAAACTCAGATCGACCAGCCTGTATATCGATGCTTGCTCTCATATACAGGCTGGAATCGAGCCTAACCATAAGCATACTCTAAGATTCTGCTAAGATTTCTTAGGATCCGGTCTGTTGCGGCCCGGACATGTCAGCAGGTGCGTGACTCCCGGTCCGACTGATCCGGTAAAAATGCGCATGCTATAGACAAGTTTTAATTCTGATTTGGAGACCTGGTACCTGAGTCGGTACCAGGAATATTGCAGCGCAAGATAATAAAACATGAATACAAATCCCTCTGATGGCTCTTCATTGGAAGATGTCTCGAATGCGCCATGAATTTCGGAGCAGGCCAATATACATTTTCATTTCTGGTCAAAAAGCTGAGTTCCATCAGGTCAAACTTTATTTTCTAGTTGTTGCTAGCATATAAACTAATGCTAATAGTAACTTGTGCACTCAAATGTCGGATGGCAGCCTCCGAGCGTGCAGTAAATTATCCTGTGGCAGTACCAAAATGTCTGAATGCAGTGCCATTGATGGTTTTAATTGGGTCACGACCATGTAAGTCCAAACTCGTACCAATTTCAAACATTTGTTAATCGAATGGACAGCAGTAGACAATGACTGAGGCAGCCACGGATCCTAGTGTTACTTGAACAGCTACTTGGTATAGATATACTTATACAAACATAAAGAAGAAGACGCAAAATAAGAATAGGATATCTGTACGCAACAAGGGAGTATTGCGGTAGCCGATAAAATAATCGGGGGCGTGCGCTGGGGATGACGGAGGCGATGAGGTCGCGGGAAGCGAGAAATTGAATAAAGGAAATTGGCGGCGGCGCGTGGCGTGATGCCTGCGGAGTGCTCGAGGAGTTGGCGGAAGGGCGAGGGCTTGAAAAAAAATGGGGGTGGCG